TGTGTCTGTGTGCATTTTATTTACAAAGAGCAACAGACACCTACATTGTTACATTCTTGTGCAAAGTTACATTAGAAAGAAGTTTTTTACAAATTACTTTCATTCATCACAGATCTCACTTTATTTTAAATTCAACAACTTTTTGTATATAATTTTACAATAATGGGTAAGTGTCAATTTTAAGTCACTTCAAATGTTTATTTGTTATGTAAGGTCATCTTGCGACCCCCTCTCAGTGTCTTGCGACTCCCCAGGTGGTCCCGACCCCCACTTTTGAACGAACATCAAGGAGGTGCAGGGCAGTGCAAAAACAGCAGGCCTAGGAAGAAGATATACCTGCACACCTGCAAAAAAAAAAATTATTACCTGAAGAAGACCTCTGGGGAAACGTTGGGATTGTGATGGAATAAAAACTTTTGTGGCATTTTGAGCAAGTGTGCAGGTATATCTTGTCCTCAATAGTGCCCCTAAAAAATGTTTACTACACAATCCAGCACATTTCACTAATGTACTTTATGTGGGTTAGGTATCTAACACGTCCAGTCCTACATACAAGCCTGTGATATCTAAAGATACAAACGGGAGTTCACACATGGATGTTATTTGAAAATTTGATGTATTTATGACCATGGCAGAACAAAAAAAAAGACATTTCCCCACAAGACAGGAAGTTCACATATATCTGCATACAATATGTGTGAAATGTCAGGTTTAATCCCAGCCTGAAAAAAACTTCCATGCTAATATTCATCCATAGAAATATAGTCACCTACTAAGAGGATATTACAAGTTTTTGCTTTGCCAGATTCTGAAGCAGATTATCTTCACACCAAAGTGCAAAGACATTTTTTCCGAGGTTGAAGTTTAACTTTTTGTGTTTTAGATGTCAAAAAGGAGCTTGAGACGGTGACAAAATACTATCAAGAACTGAAGAAAAACCACATGAAGGAACATCACCAGTTAGGTAAACATTTTTTTTTAAAGTAGATAATGCTCTGATTTAAAACTGTAAGAAATTGCTTCACTTATTTTTATAACAGTTGCTAACAATGCTTCTATTCACACTAGTGCTGATCAACCCGGCCCGTCATCTGCACAGGTAAGTTTAAGTAAAAGTTATGATTAAAAAGTTAACATTCTGGTAGACAATGAAATGGTAATATGAAAGTTATCAGTAGAATATCACAACCTTTGTGTTTAACTCTCTTGTGGATATTCAGGTTTACCTGATGCAGAGAAACAGCTGAGGCCTGTTTAACCACTGAGGGTCCCACAGGGAACATTGAAAAAGTCATGAGGCTTCTGGATTTCTCAACCTTTTCTTCAGGTTGTTATTTCTGCTCTCTCTTTTGTTGACATGTTTGATGTGAGTTTCAGAGATGTTAGATTAGTGATAGGACAGTTTCCTTTTGATTAGTTGTGGTGGGCCTCAGGCCAAAAATTGCAATGGGTGGTGGAGGGTCGGGGGGATGTTTGTTTTCATGATAATCGTTTATTTTTTCGGCCTTTTTGCCTTTATTAGATAGGACAGCTGAAGAGAGACAAGAAATATTGGGAGGAGAGAGTGGAGGGATGACATGCAGCAAAGGGCCAAGGTCGGATTCAAACCCACAGCTGCTGCTGAGGAATGTAGCCTCCGTACATGACATAACCGTTAAGCAATCCAGCGCCCCTTTCATGTTTCTACATTTTTTCAGCGAGACATCAACTTCTTTAATAATTCAGGTTTTTAATTCTTGAAGATGTGTTTTTTTGAGTGTTTTTATTTTATGAATTTAGAAGTGGATGATTTGATGTACTCCCTGCAGTTTCACTGATTTTACTGCATCTTTAAATCTTGAACCTTAATCAAAGAATTAAGATTTAGGCATTTCAAGGGCTGATCTTGTTCTTTTGTGATGATTAAGGACAAGACTGTTTTACTGGGATACAAAACTTAAATCTGTGATGCTATAGTAAGGGTGAAATAGAAGTTAATTTTATATTAGACCAACTTTTCTTGCTTCCTGATATGAATTACAATGGTTTTTTAAATGTTTTTAAGTCTTCACTGATTATAAATTAATTATAGCACCTCATGCAATAAATCTCCATAAAATGTAAATGTTGTTACTGAAGTGTCTGATGTAATCAGGACAGAGTAATTAAGTTTACAATGGGCGCATCAGGAGGAGTATCTGAATGAGATTTAGGAGCCCTCTCAGTGGAATGTATACAATGGGGCCCCTGTATCCAGAGAGTTGCCCAGGGACTTCTGGACAAGAGATGTATCTGTGACCTGTGTTGTCCTTTGAGTTTATGACATACATAGACATACATATGCTAAGACAGAAACCCCTGCAGTTGTATGAAGAGGGTGTCCTGAAAACAAACAGATGTCCCTATGTTGTTCTCCTGTGAGGTGTGTCCATAAATACCAGAGTTTCTGTGTGTAAGGGGAGAGATCACTTTTGGCTGTGTCTCTCCCAGGTCGAATGGCGAGCCTGGCGATGCTGTAACTTGTTTGTCAATAAAATGATCATTATGTAAGCAAGTCAGTGTCAACGGAGCGTCACGGAACAGGATCAGTTGGGCCTTCTGCAGGGGACCACAGCTTGTTTATTATTTCCATCACTTCGTAAGTGTTTTCTTTCTTTTTTTTCTGCACATATTGCGGAGCTGTTCTCTGTCGTCTATCGGCAATTTTGGCCGCACTGTCAAAGAACTGAAGTGCAATGATGTGTTGATGTTGGAGTAATTCTCTGTCTAAATTGGGGTTTATTGAGTTAAAAAGTATATAGATAAAGGGGAATAAAATAAAGAAGAGATAAATAAGAGAAGAAGAGATGAATAAAGTTGAAAGGTAATGATAGCATAAGCGCAACTAGTAACGAGACCAGTTAGCTAAAAAACTATGCAAGTTTAACAAGGACAGGGCCCGTATCCTCTTAACAGTAAGTCATGTGTAAATTAGACACTGAAGTGAAAGTTGGCTTTAAGAAGTAGTCAAATTTGAGTAAAAATAAAACAAAGGGGATCCCTGGCCAGGGTATTTGAATAGAATAAACGTATAATGTAGGAAATAAAGAGAAGAAATAAAAGAGAGAAATAGATGAGAAGTGTAAAGATGAGAAGTAAAAAGATGAAAAGTGAAGATAAGGAATAAAGATAAGAGTTTTGAGAAAAGTGGGAAAAAGCGCTAAGTAAAGGAAAAAGTGTGCATTGAAGCATGCAGTGTGAAGTAATTTGTTAAAAGACAATTTGTTAAAAGTTTGGCCAAAGTAAAATTTGATAGAGGAAAATTATAAATGAGTCGACTTCAAAATCTGAACTGAAGTGTGTGTGGCTGTTGAAGGGCTCTGTCTCTGTCTGTGTCTTGTCTCTTGTGTTGTGATTTGGATGGTTTTGAGAGGTCTGTGTGGTGTGAGATGTGTATTTGATCCGGAAATGTTCTTGTATATGTGTGATTGATAAATAGAATAGATGTATTATAAATAGGCATATATAGCAGGTGATTGGTTAAAAGGCGATTTAGTAACTTATAAGAGGGGCATTTTTGCTTCATCAGTGTTTAAAAACATATGAGCCCTTTGTCTAAGGGGACGTTTATATATCCGATTTGATAAAAAATATGAGCCTTTGTTTCAGAGGACTTTTACTTATCTGATCTTCATCAGTGATAAAAATCTATGAGCCCCTCAGAGGATGTTTGTTTAATCTGATAAATACACATGAGCCTAATAAAGGACGTTTATACATAGCATAAGTGTATATAGTATCTGTTTTTAACAGAAGTGGAGAGACCAGCGAGGATAGTCTGTACCCATTCAGGTAGCAAGTTCGAGAAAAGAACAGAAAAATTCCTGATAAAGTTTAGAACTGCCGGCTGATTGGAGTGTGAACTTCTCTTTCTGTCTGTTGGAGCGTATGTGTGTGACCACATTATGCTGTGAATTTTGTCTGTTCAAAAGAACATATAGTTTTGGTTTAAAATAGGTGAAGATGTCTAGAAACCAGATTCAAAACGGTTCTTTGTGATGCCATTATTTTGCTTTTCTTATTGCCTTACGCCTTAGTCTCTTATTTCCGGTCTTACATAAAATGTGCTTTTATTTAGAAAACTGCAAAGGGGACTTCTGCTACATTGTAAAGTTATGGGAGTAAATACATACAGCTAAAATAACAACCAAGAGGAGAAAATGTTACACTTATGCTGTTTTGTGAGGTGGATTTATCTTAAAAACCTCGTTTGGGGACTTACTCTCTTTCAGAAGGATGCTACATGCAGCATGTTTCCATGTGTGAGCTCTGAGCTCTGACTCAGTGATGAGTGACAGGAGGATTAAATGCAAATGTAACCTTACTGTGCTTCAACTGTAATCAAATAGCTATGATTGGCTTAGTTGTCACTTAATAAATCTTACTTGGATAAGTTTTCTTTTAATGACTCCACTAGTAAAAAGTGTACATTTTAGTGAAAGTAGGGGTGTCACAGCACCACACGGGTGAGATGCGCTGTCTGTGCATTAAATGCACTAGGTTTGGACCATGGGTTTGGAGACATGTTAACCCTTTGACAGCCAGGCTAGACTGGAAGCTCTTGAGAAATTAGGAGGTGGGTCCAAGAGGCGTTGCCTCACATAGAAAGCCAATTAGATTACTCCTTTTGAAGAGGAGTGGAGAGAGAGCCCTTCCTCCTCTCTCTTCTCTCTGTGGACACAGAGGGAAGGAAAACACACCCCCAGTAGGGAGACAGCCTTTGCAATAGATTAAAAAAAAATAGATAAAGATTAGAGATAATGTGTGCATATTTCACTGAATTGTTATTGCATTGTGTATATGAATTCAGAGTGACCCTTAGACACTCAACTTTTGTTTTGTTTCTTTTTTGTCTTCTCTGTTTTTACTATGTTGTGTGAGAACTGGAGGAGATGGATTGTGTCTGAACTGGATCAGTCAAAAAGGCAGATGAGGAGAGATCTGGCAGTACTTCACAAACACTGGAAGCTTGCGGATGACAGCATGTAGGGATCCTGAATCCAGCTTGATCAAGGCCAGTGCGGTTTTATCCACAAACTCTTTCAACAAACACCTGAACTTTTCGCGATCTGTGTATACACATTTTTTATAGTCAACATCTTTGATATATGTTTAGTCTGTTTTCGCATAGAGGCTTACATTGTTTCTTCTATGTATCACATTACAATTATATAGGAGGAATTCTTGGCAACAGACTGACTAATTGAAGCATTTGGTCAATAATGGAGTATTTTTGATTTGATTGATCATTTATGGAAAAGTTGATTTGATTCAAATGCAGTTGAGTGCTGTGAATGCTGGTTTCATTGTTTGAGTATGGTCTAGCTTGACCTGGGCTATTTTGAGATGGAACATTGACATTATTTCCATAATTTTAAGATAAATAAGTGTGATTAGATGCATTAGGTGATAAAGAAGTGCTTTTGCTTTCATAGTAAGAAGGCTTTGGTCTCCTTTGGGGTTGGCAAATTCATTCACTTTCAAGTGTGGTAACAGTACTTTCTAAATAGTGTGACTAAATAGTTTGACTTACAATACGAGGAACTAAGAGGGTCATTGTAATGTCAAAGATGGACACCAAAATTACAAAATCAATCACTTCTGTTGATGTAGTACAGAAGACTAATCCTTTGTTAAAGATATTCCAAAAAATCAAGAAAAATGGAGTAAGCGTTGGCCTGACATTGACCAGCCTTGGCCAGTAGAGGGGACTTTGAACCCGGATGTGATTAAAACAATACAGGTGCTTGTGTTCTACATATAAGGTAAATCAGATGAAAGGCAAAAAGGGGAATAGACGTATGGAGAAAAGACAAACTGAACTTGCATTCTGCAGTTGTTTGAAAATGAGGGACAGAAATTGTTAGAAGCTGCAAGAGAAAAAAGGAACAGAAGTATGCAAGCAATAAAGAAAAATGATAAGGAAGCAGGAAAGTTAATGGAGAAGGTTAACACACCCTTCTCACATACTGCCTTAGTAAAGAAGCGCCCGCCTTATGAGAAGGAAGTGAAGTTTACTGATGTTTATCCTCAGCTCCCAGTGATTAGACAGGAGGGCAACTATCACGTCACAGATGAGAGTGATAGTGATGGAGACTCAGAGAGAGAAGGTCCTACATATCTTCACCAGCTAGCAGCCGATGCAGGGTGGAAGATGATGGATGCAGGATTTTAAGAGAGATTGAGAGGTCTATAAATAGATGCCTTGTGAACATAAGTGAATCTACCAGTCCAGAAGAAACAGGACCAGGAGACTCTTAGAAAACTTAACCAACTACAG